TTTCCAAGAAAACATATATCACAAGAATCAACTAGCATGTATTGAGAACTTTCTACAAATAGCCTTGCTTAACCAAATGAATTCCAACTTAAAATAAAATGAGATTTAGTCATGGCAACTAAACCAAAATGAGTTCTTAATCCCACCACCATCTTAAAATCGATAAAAATCAAGTTTTAAGATTATATTTAAAATTAAGGGCAAACCTTAAATTCATTTACTTTGAAAATAGAGATCTTAAATTTGAAATGCGCAAATAGTCAAGAACCTAAAATTTACATTGAATATTAATTAGCAACAATCCAAAATTACTAATCCTAATTTAACTTAATAATACCTAATTTTATAAGATCTATATTAAATTTCCTACATAAGTGTCTACATCTGTTTACTGATTAAAATTGAGGGTGTTGGCACCATTGATAATCAAACCTTAAACCTGTTACATAGCACCCATGAACTGCACCGAACGAGCACCACCCGCCCCAACTACTTTTATTCATATTATTTTAATGGACCAGTAGGTGTCAACACGTGATCTGTTACCAGCATTAGAGTGTCGACACTACTAAAAATTTCTAGAACAATAGAGTGAGGCGGTGTGTGATACGTCATCGTGCACGCAGCAACACCCAGCACCCACACTCAATCACATGGGTGCTGCTGTATTGTGGTTTTGTCATTCCCTTTTAACAATAATATATATATGTGTGTGCGTGTGTGTGTATGTGTATATTTGTATTTACACGTTAATTCAATAGCCTTTGGGACAAGATATGAAAACTCACCATGATATAAGATTTTGATGTCATATTTGAGACAAAACCTTAATAACAAGTGTAAAAGGAGATCTAAAGATTACAATATTGGGTTTAGCAATAAAGATACAAGGAAACGAGAAAGAACAATAAATCAAGAGGAACAAATATACTCACCATTAGAATCTTAGGGTTGCATTATAGGAGAAGAAGATGGCTAGACTTAGGAGGAGGTGTTTACTGTGTAAAAGCAAATTTATTTTGAGAAGGGAATAACGTTGAGCGGCAGACTTCACATTTGTTTAAATTTTTTATTTAGGTAAATAATAATTTCTAAATTAAAAGACATTAATCCCAAATTAAATCCTTGAATCAAATAAAAATTTAAGATCATAAATCCCCATAATCGGCAATTAATCCCAACCATTAATTAGGTTATGCACATTTAATTATATTGATTCCCAACATTAGGGAAAATATGCAGGTTATTACAATGCATTAAAACCTTAAACAAGTCTTCCATTTTGATGAAATTCTTTGACAAAATTAACAATGTCTCCTTTTAATTGTGCTCCATATTGACTTGATAAAATGGAAGTAGAAATCATTAGGCCCTAAGGCTTTATCACTAGCACATGAAGATACTGCTTCTCTAATTTCCTGAACTGTGAATTTTGCCTCTGGCATCTCTCTATCTTCATTAGATAATTTGTTAAAACTTAGGTGCTGCAGTAATGGCCGTGATTGAGGTTGAGAGGAGTACTGGTTTGAGAAGTTGTCCATGGCGATCATTTTGACTTGTGTAGGATCATCCATCCAGGCTCCTTGAAAGTTGATTCCATAAAGCGTATTCTTCTTCCTTCTCTTATTAAAAATTTTATGAAAGAAACTAGTGTTTGCATCCCCTTTTTCTGCTCATGCAGCCCTAGATATTTGCCTTTATAAACTTTCTTTTTTCCTCAAGCATAGCAAAAGATCTACAAAGCCCTCTTTTATTTTTATCACATCATCCTCAGTAAAGTCCTAATCTTCACATTTGAGATCAACAATCTCAACTTTCTTCATGGCTTTTTCAAGCTGGCTATCAATGTTTCCAAACACTTCCTTGTTTTGCAATTTAAGGTTCTACTAGGGCAACTTTAGCTCTTTTTGCATTCAAAACCCCAGTGTCTTGCTATCTGGAAAGAATTCCATAGCTTCACAACTTCTCAATCATTGGACCAAAGCCAAGGTGGGAAGTCCAACTGTTAATTGATTTGAATGGTCTAGGGACCCAATCAAAGTTGCTTGTGCTAAGGCTAATAGGACAGTGGTCACTAATTCTTCTTTTCATAACTAGTTGAACATAGTTGCCCCAAATCTCTTGGAAGTTTTCAGAAAGAAGGAACTATCAAGTTTGTTATGGGTTGAACCATCACTCTTATACCGAGTAAACTTCCTGTTTCATAATGGCAAATTGACCAAGCAATTTGCTTCGATAAACAAATTAAAATCAACAAATTTGGGATGAGAAGTCATCGTACCTTTTCTTTCATGTGCTCCTCTTACACAGTTGAAGTCCCCCCCAATGCATAAAATACAATTTCATTTTCTAATTTGATTAGAGATGTCATTCAACACCCTGGCTCAAGCAACCACACTATAGGGTCCATATACATTCAAAAAGTAGCATCTAGCTTTATTTACACCCCACATACCGTCAACTCTAATGAATCTCTAGCTTTCAAACACATCAATTTAAAAATATTAGTTTCTTAATAATTGTGTTGTGGAGTATGTTAAACTAAAAGGTGTACCAATATTATCCAAAGGAAGGCTATATATAAAGTTGAAAGTGTAAATTGTGGAAGATCCCTCCTTCTAAGGACTCAAAAGAAACAACAATTTCTATTTGGAGTTAGAGAAATAGCTGGTCAATAAACAAACAAAATGTAGCTCAACCAATGAGCAGAGTACAAAGATATAGTTGATATAAACTTAAAGGGGCTTGCTTACCTGGGGTTTGTTTTAGCTTTTTAGACTTGTGTATATAGGGCCTTTACATTTTTTATATTTTTATTTAAGCATTTTAAGTTTTAAAAATAAACAGGTTGACCCACGCTGTGACCCAACTGTTGGGGCCATGAGAGACAGGGGTCAGGTCATCAACAATCATGTTACATGCTCGGTCAGGTTGGGTTACTTTTTGTGAGGTCTACCCGTGTGTTTTACCTGTTTTTGGGACCAAAATAATATGAAGAAGACACTAATGACTAACCCGTTATTTGCAAATATACTATGAGGACCAAAAAGCATTTCCCAATAAAGTTTTACCATATTTACAATTTAAAAATTTTACAGAATGAACCTATTATTTATATTTCATATCTGTGCAGGACATGCAGTGTAAAGGCTTCAATTTTGAACCTTCTTTAAGTACTCATCAAAACACGATAATATTACAGAAAAGTAAAGTGCACTGTGTTCTGTGTGGACTATACTTCATTTAATTATTAATGGAAGAGTAGACTCCCTGATAATTAGGATTTACCTCTCCATCAATGATTAATTATTTTGCATTGATTGCAAAACAGTATTATGATAATATTATTAAACTAAATATATTAACTTGAAGGAACCAATATTTCTTCTTTATTTTTGTATAAAGACAAAAGCTGCTCCCTCAAAGCTTCCGGTTCTAGAATGTAGCTACTGTCGACCTGCATGCAAATGTAAACCCATATTAATATATAGACTAAGTAACATTAATAAACCAAAACAAAAGCCCCAATAGCTCAGTGGTAGAGCGTCAGTCTTGTAAACTGAAGTTTTGTATATCGATCCTGCATGCTAGCAAATTTCATCTTTTATAAAATGGAAAAAAATTTTACACCTGGAAATGCAAATTATGGAAGATCCTTCCTTCTGAGGACTCAAAAGAATGAGCATTTTGAAGTTGGAGTCGGCCATCTTCCTCTAAGTTAAGCAAGATACAGGATAATGGAGTCTTGACCTCCTCGCAGGTGCAGATTTGGATAATCAGTTCATTCTTAGTAGGCTGGTTTGCAGTGACAGCAACCGAGCCATTTCTTTTGCTGGGTTCTTGATGAATCTGCTTGGCTTGCCTAGAAATCCTTGATAGAAGTTGTTCTTTCTTTTGAAGAAGTCTCTCTACTTCCTCTTGTAGCTCTGGAATGTACTTTACCACACGCGAAACTGTAGCCGTTATGCTTAATTTTTTCTGTCACAAACAGTGAAACTCAAATTGATGAGTTTGTGGTTGTAACTATAATAATAATTAATGAGCATATTGAGGAAGTATTTTTGGGATTCACAAGCCTGCTATATATGTAAGGAGAGTATGAAAAATAATGTAAAGACCTATATGTAATTTTGATGAGGAAATATACAATTAGTGGTAGCTTATATCTCTAACTATTTTAAGATTCAAATTTAAAAATTTGGATATTAATTGCTATACACTTTGATTCAATATATTACACATTATATTTATTAAAAAATTATTATTTTTTAATATAAAACTTTTTAATATAAAATTAAAGTTAAATAAATTTAATAATATAACTATGCATACATGATATAAAAACTGATTGAATTACCTTACTTATATTATACTTTTAATTATTGAACTAAACAAGTAACAAAACAATTTATCAAACCGAATATATACTAATCATTTTTCTAAAACCTTTAATTTAAGAGTATTTAAACTCTTATACTAATTTAGACATCTTGATGGAAAAAACAGTTTCATTATCTCTATGGATTGATGAATATTTGAAAAGTATTTTGTGCCCGTATGTGAACAGGGTCCATTTATCAGAAGCAATTTGTGCGCATGTTGGAAAAGTATGATCTAACATGAAAATGAGGAGTAAATTGAATAGGATTGACTAGGTCAAGAAGAATCAGTCAAGGTTAATATTGGAACCAGTATATATGTATATATAAAGGGCAAAGTTGATGGATGAATTGTATATGTCATTCACCCTATTAATTAAATTATCAAAAAAAAAAATTGACCTTTTATGCCAATAATTCAAGAATATTGATATTTATAAGATGATATAAATTTATTAATTTAAAAGGTCAAGTGGGTTCCTTTGCCCTTGGAATCAAACCATATGGCGCTAATATACCAGATCCACTTGGAATACAAGTGTCAAATCCAATAATAGTTAAAATTTCCCTAACTAAACTTAAAATGGGCATCGTATGAGATTGCTTTTGTTTTATTTTTTCACTTAAATTTATTTGATCGTTTGGGATTGCTTAATTGTTATATCGTCAAAAAATTTAAGGAAAATGCCATTCTGAGTGATTTAATGGCCATCTCAGACTTCCTTTAACAGAAGAACAAGAAAGTGTAAGTTGTTGGAGTTGAGGAACAAAAAAAAGTACTGAAAATAATTCAAGAATAAAAAGTGCTCAAAAGTTAAAATTCAGGGACTTTAAAATTAGCGTTTAACAATTTTCCTTTTCCTTGTGGGACTACTTCCATGGTGCTTTTTCTCGGAGTAAAATTACAACATTATATAACAATCTAAAACAAACCTTAAATGATCCTCCTCTAGTAACAAAAACTTAACTAGTTAAGTATCAACTAACTTTAAAATATCAATTTATGATCAACTCTGGTTCCAAATTAACCTTCTGCAACAGCTATGAATCCTTGGATTACAGGTAAAGGAAAAAAAAGGAAGGAATTGAAAAGGGATATAAAAAGGATTATCTATGTAACAAAAGCAATGAACAAAGAAAGTGAAAATTAATCAAGGATTCAACAAACATACCGTCTCATGATCTGCAGGCGGAAGCAAGGAACGGAGGGAAGAGCACAGAGAATTGAGCCGCCGACGGTGGCGGCGCTTACCGGGGTTGTGATTAAGCTTCCTAACCATTTTGCGGCCTTCACCACTATTATTTGTAGTAATAGTACTTGGAGAAATCTGAGGCTCACCTGAAGAGGGCGATTCTTCCATAATTTCTTCAGATTTTTGGCTCCCTGTTGCGTGTAAGGACCATTCACTGTTTGGACACAATGCACACATCTTGTGGTGTATATGTTGGTTGCTTCGCTAAGAATAAGTTAAATAGAATATCATGACTTTTGTGACATTTTATAGGGAGAATATTGTAGTACAAGACAAAATTGACATTTGAAAACGATACTCCATCTCCCTCCTCAGTGTAAACGCAAGGTTTTTTTTAGTGCAAATTACACATTTCTTCCAAATTTAACTCCTATATCAAAAAATTGTCACACAATCAAATTATTGGCTAGGAGCAAATCTTTTGATATTGGGAGCTATTTTTCCATCTAATAATTTTAATTTTATAATATTGTATAGTTCAAACTACTAAATAGAAAACTCCTTGTAAATATATGCTTAACCCCTAAATCATGACTATAC